TTTGGATGTCTCCAACACCAGTGTGGCCGAAGAGCCAGACCCACACATAGGCTTTCCTCACGCTCATTTCTAGTGATGATACATTATAAATGTTTACTTAGGAAAAGGAACCAACATGTGAGATTGTCAGGAGAGCTTCAGGCAAGCCTTATCCAACCCAGTGTGTGCACAGCTCGTGGGCTGGAGAAAGCCTGCCAGGTGCCAGGGGAGAGGTGGTGTAGAATCCCAAAAGATATGGGGCTAACGTGTATGTCTCGAACACCGACAGCCGATGGCTGTAGAGCCAACCAAGCACTGTTGGGACTAACAGACAAAGATTGTTGGTACCAACACGCCGTGAGAAAGAAGAGGCTGTGACTGGAGAAGGGGGCCATGCAGAAGTAGGGCAGGACTCTTCTGGGACAAACGTCCTTGTTGTAGTTCCTGGAGATAAGCATAACAAAGTACAGCACAAGTGAAGGAATGAAGCCAAGAAGTGGGCATGGACTGTGGGAGGGTGGAGGGGATCAAGGCCACCAAAGACCCCCAAAGCACTCCGACCATTTTCAGAAAGGCCTGAAAGAATGGATGATAACTAATTTGTTAAATCTGTCTTCAGGGTAGCGAAACCTGCCCATAAACAGGTATCCCCTCAAGCCTAGGTGGCACCCATGGACATCCCAGCAGCTGAATCAAGACACTGGAACAGGAGTGATGATCTTTCTTTTCCTTCCTTTCTTCCCTTCCTTCCTTTCCTTCCCTTTTCTCCCTCTTTCTCTCTCCCTCTCCTCCTCTTTAATTTATCTCTTCCTTTCTTTATTCCCTTTCATCCTACCTCTTTATCCAAAACCCACTGCCGTGTGCAGGTCAGAGACTAACACATCAATTTCCAGTAATTTACTAATAAAACTTTCTGATTCTTTGCGGACCCTCTGACTTCTGCCCTTCCTTTCCACCACCAGCATTTTACAAACCTTGCGTTTTTCCTTCCCCTTAACGGTGACACGTCGGCGGCGGGGAACCTTTCAGCGCGGCGCCGCTTCCCGTCCGGCCGCGGCCGCGGGAGCGCGCCGCCGCCGCCGTTGCCGGGTAACGGGCGGTGCGGCGGGAAGGCGGCCCGACCGGCCGGCGGGCGGGGCCGCGATGCTGGACCCGGACCGTGGGCTTGTCCCTCACCACGCCCAGGGTCGTGCAGCGCCTGCAGGGCTCCAGCCTGCACTCACAGCTGGAGCGACAACAGGCCCGGGTGAAGCCCCGACCTGCCGCTGGGCCCCCGCGTTCGCCTCCCTTTCGCGCTCCCCCTCCCGGCGCTTTTGTTCCCGGCTGTCGCCCCCGGCCCGGCCCGTGTGGCCTCCTCCGGGGGCGGGGGGCCCGGGGGCTCCCGGCGCCTCTCCCCTCCTCCTCTCCCTCCCTCTTTCCCACCCCGGCGGGGCCGAGTGGTGTGTTTGGCTTCTGGAGCCGTGTTTACAGTGTCTCCCCTTGGGACCGAAGGATTTCGCAGGGAATATGAAGACTATCCCTCTGAAATCTCACTGCTTCAAATATAGGTCCTGAAACGAATTGCTTTTTTAATCTTCCGTTCGGAAAGCTTTAAATGCCGCCTCCCCACCCCCCGCTCCCCTAGTGCCCCTGAGGAAATGAGGATTAGGTGAAAGGAAGTGAAAACAAAAAACACTCATGAAAGTACATTTTATTAGCCGAGAAAACAGTTGCCTTTTTTTTTTTATTATTTAGTAGCTTATCTGCACTTGAAACAAGATTTTCCTATTTCAGCTGAATTTAATTTAGGATGTTTCAGATTAAAATTGCATCAGTTTTCATAATCATAATAACATAGTCGTGGAGCTATAGTAATTATTGTGCATTATTGAAATACGTTGGGTTGGGTTCTGTAAAATCTTGTGGGTTGCTTTTTTTTTTTTTTGGTAAACATTGCTTAAACTTGTACCCTTTTTTTATCTGCCTTAGTTTTTTTGTGTTTTTAAATGAAACATGATTTTCCTCTTTGAATGTCCCTAAAGCTTTCCAGAGCAAGTGACATCACTGCATGCCTTTTGTGTCTTTTGTTTTGTATTTAAATTTGCTGATTTGGTCCCTAAATGCTTTTATAAATGTATGTCTGCTTTGCTCCTGTTGGCTGTGCTCTCTAAGTATATGTAAGCAAGCAAATGTGTGTGACCCGAGGGGGTCTGGAATTACAGAGGAGTTTAGAGGTTGGGTTCTGCTGAATGTTGGGGAATTCAGCATCCCAAGTAGCCTGACATGAGGAGTGGAGAGGCAAGTTCAAGACCTTGTCCTCAGTGCAGGCAGAGAACAAGGCTCTCTTTTAACAACTCTGCTAGTGCTTAAATAAAACCTGTTTGTGCTCAGCTCTGCACACATTCTTTTATCCTTGACCTGGCTTCACTGTCATTTGATACTTGGCGAGTTTGTTTTGAGACTGGGAGAAGCTCGGTGTAGTCAGGACTTGGTGGGGTGTTTAAGTGCTGCTGGTGGGTGACTGTTTTATAGAGCCATTTTGGGCACTGGGGACCTGGGCAGTGCCTTTCCATGGTGGTGGGTGGTGTCTGAAAGGGCAGTGAAGTGCCTAAATCCCTCCCCGACTCAATAGCGTATCAATTTACTCAATACAAGTAGAACCTGTGCATAATCAAAGTGTAAAGGTAACCTATAAAATAAATAAAACACAGTGTAATGGCCACAGTCAAACCTGTCACGGGAGCTTTGCAGAGCACTGTTTTACAAATGTCTTGTAAAGAAGAAAAAAAAATATTTATATAGGTCAGAAGATCATTCCAGTCACATGAAGTGCTAAGGGGAAAGAAAATAAACAGGGCAACAAATATTCAAGTTGATTCTTAAGAGCAGGTGTTTAAAGAGTTTGTAATAGAAGATTAAATCAGAGCTGTAGTTCAGTGTAGTGATCTGAAAGACTGGAAAGTTTATGTATGCATCAACTAGGGGATTTCTCAAATGAATTTCCTTTTGGATCTTGTAGTTTAAATCAGGAGGGCCAAAAATACACTGTGTTTACCAGGAATGTTCTGTATGTTCTCCCTGATACAGACTTTTTTTATAATGACCTTGCATGCATTTATGTTTGTTCATGTACAGAAGACTTGTTTTATTTACAGTGCTTGGATGGTCGTATTATTGCTGTTCTATGCAGGTGCAAAGGCCATATCAGTGGGTCCCTTCTCTCTTGTCCATCCCTTTGCAGCTGTACGGAATTAGGAAGGTTTCTGAATTTTGCCTCACTCTGCATTAAACTAATGCTTGATTTCCCCCCCATTACCCAGGGTATTTCTGAAGTTGCACTGTCAAATATGAAACCTTTGCTATTGCTGTGCATCACACCTGAACTCTGGCTTATTGATAGGGTGTGATGGGGTTTTTTGTCTGCTGGTTAACAGTGCTTGGTCTGCACCAGTTGCAGTTTTGATCTATGGGTGGTCCCTTTCTAGGCAATTTTAAGCTGTTTCAGGATTCACATACTGTATTTTGAAAAGTCTTTTGAAGCACTGCATCAGAACAAAACTTACTTCTTTTGGATCTTTATACTGCAGTTATATTTTACAAATATAATTCTTCATCTGCTAGTGTAGAAAATGACATTGCTGGTATTTGTTCCTCAAAAATATTTACCATCTTTGAAAACATGAGTCATGACGGATCATAAGGTCTGTTATAATATTGCCTGAAATTTTGAGAGGTCATGTACTCTTCACGAGCAGTATTTTAACTATTAACAAAAAATGTTTTGTATGTTTTGTAAATTCATCTCTTCTTCTATTGTCTAGGAAGGAGAGCTTGAAATGAACAGTTTCATTCACGAGTTAATAAAATTTTGGGGGAAAACATAATATCTCACACATCATTTGTGAGAGGTGATAGAGTAGCCCTGTGGTTATGAACTGATCACACCAGTTCTATGCTTGACTGTCATTGGGAGCCTGAGCTTGTGTCAGGGGCTGTGATACACAATCTCTTTGAAATAACTTTGGCCTGGGCACCAAATGATTTGCTGTCATGGCTTTACCTCGGGGGATACCAAGATAATCACATTTTTGTCCCAAGGACTGAAGTAGAGTCATATGGTTGTGAGTGATGATTTGGTAAAAAAAATGTTAGGTTGATTTTTGTAGGTTGAGTTTTGGGATATTGATAATATAGTTAATACAGAGAGATTAATGCAGGAAAGAATGTTAATGTGCCTTTGGAATTTCTTCTGAGCATGTTTATTAGTGTGTTTGAAAGGAAAGAAGAGCCAAGAGCCAAAATATTAGATAGTAAATTTTCAACAGGTAGAATTGTGGCTGTGGTTAGTGGGGTAAGGGCAGAGAAATCTCATCTTGGTTTCTCAGGCACAATGTCACTGTGCAAGGTTGTAACCAAATTTGCTTTTGTCTTAATTTTTCTCCTCCCTTTCTGAATTGTAATTGTTTTTAACTAAGAATTAAAGGGGGTTAGAAAACTGAGACATGCACATCTTCAATGACAAAATGCAGTTTTAAAACAAATTATTTTGTGTAATCTTGCTAGAATTTTGTTTTAGGGAATATCTGTATCATTGAACTAACAGTAAAAGTGGAACAGCTCAGAGGCATGAAAAAAGTGCTACATTTTTAGTACATTTTCATCTGCAAACAATTCAGGAACTTTGTCTTTCATCATGTTTGAAGGAAGCTGGGCTTTATTAATCAGTTAATTAATTTTTGTCCCACACAAACCTGTAATAAAAATCAGTCTGACTTGGAGTTGCCCAGAACCTCTAGTGGCCAGAGGCAAATAACAAGTTACAAAAGACCTCAACAAAAGCAACCAACAAAAAACAGCCTCAGAAGTTTATTCCTAAAGAGCTTTTCTAAAACAGGAGGTGACAATAAAATGAAAGATAAAGGTTCTAAATTATGTTTAAATTGAAGGTGAAAGACTCACAGTGCAGGGAGTGTCTCTTGGCATTGTCTGTTTTGATGTTCTCAGTTCTGTTTCGTGTAGGTGTGTCTGTGGTGGGACAACTTGATGGAGAACTTGCAGAACAGCTCAGTAAGGGCTGTCAAAGTGGGCTAAAAGTGGCAGTGTAAGCATAAGAATGAGCCCTGACACCCCTTCCTACCCTACTGTAGCAATTAAGTTTGGGAGTGAGAATAGATATTAGGAGGTACCTGAAGGTGTGAAGAGGGTGTGTAGAGGAGATGTCATGATCAGAATTGTTGTCCTGAGGAAAGGACTCTGCCATCATTCTTTGAGCAGACCTGTGGTAGAACCAGAAAGGTTTAAAGACAGTACTAATCTAAGTGAGAGCTAAGGGTCTTCACAAGACTTCAGATGGGGCAAAAGAGAAGAGCTTGCTTTGGGAGCACAAGGAACATTGTTGCTGGAGTAGTGCCCTACTGTGTGCTTCTAAAGGGAGTACAGGTAAACAGATTAATTTATCTGGAGTGAATGGTTTGCAAGGTATCTGATGATACTATTTTCATTACATTTTTCTCCGACAGTTAAAAAAAAAGAAATTTATACCAATACCAGCTTAAATAAAAGATCAAATTAAGGAGGAGAATGTTTCTGTTCCATGTAGCATTTATTTAATAAAAATTAGCAAAGAAATGTGTAGCCTCATGAGTCATCATATATAATTAATGGTTCATTTTAATGCTTTGTATTTAGCAAAGGACTTATTATGCCCTCCTGACAGAGCTTCTACTTTGTTTTAAATGGTTCAGCAGTAACATTTGCAGTACAGTGAATTTTAAATGGAATGTAGTTGACTCGGTGTTGAACAGGAGTTCAGAAGCAATGCAAGCTTGATTGGCAGAGTATTACTTTTTTAGTAATGTGGATTCTATTTTTTACCTTGTGTATTTTATTTTCAGTAATAATTTTATATTCAAATAAAACCTAGAAAATTTAAATAAACATCAAAATTACATTGTTAAAATACCCTGCATATCTTGTAGCACAGCTTAACATTTGAAGCTGTTTATGCCTCTATGAGGCTATTTCAACTGCCAGGCTATTTTTACTTATATAAGAAAGTTAATGATACTTCTTCCCTTTGTGTAATTACTGTAGAAATTTTGAAGGGTTGGAAAATTGTTGATGTAATCCAGGTTTTACACTTACTGAAATTTGTTTAGTTAGGCTCAGAATGATTATTCTTTCTGTTACAGAAATATATAAACGAAAACCAAAATCCCTCCCTTAAAGTTACAGGATTTTAAATTTTTAGGGAGTGTTTATGTTAAAATTGTTGTGGTTGTACCTGAAGTGGTTTTTACCAAGTCAGCTTAATCCCGATAAAGTTCAGTTATGGCAGAATGGAGTACATAAGGAAAGGTGAATATTTATTAGCTTTCATTGAATTTACTTTTGCTAAAGTTAGGCTGTATTTGGGGATTATGCTTTATTGTAATTTGGGAAATAATAGCAATAAAAGCAAAAAACATTGTGCCCTTGTGCAAATTCATAATGAACAGCAATAAATGCTTTGAGAGGGTACATGCTTATCTAAACCAAAAAGGCTTTGAAGAGAAATTATAGTGGATAGCCTGTAAAAATATTTAGATTGTGAAAAGTTATTTGCAGAACTGTTTGCAGCAGGATAAAAATATGTGTTCACCTGATGCAGTTCCACATTTCAGTCTAGTTGGATCACTTCTCTGCAGTGTTTATTCTTGTTGAGAAAAGAAATAGTTTAACACAGGAGCTATGCTGGAACACTTTGTTCTGTCAAGCCTCCTCTTTGTATTATGTTGCTGATCCTCTAGCTGTTTTCCTTTACTTCTTTGAGTGCTGTGGTTGATGGATCTGTTTCTTGCATGATCAATGCTGCTCCAGTCATGATGCCATTTCCAAATTTAGATGCTAATTTGTGGATAGGTTGATCTCTGTGTTCAGTTGTTGTATGAATCAATTTACTGTGCCCACCAACTTTTTTATCCTGGTGCTGCCCTATCCTATTGCTTGCTTTCAGCCTCATCAATGTTGAGTATCTGGATTTTTTTCCATCTTGGCATCCAGACACAGAGAGTTTACGTTTAGATTATCATTTGTGATGGTTGACTGCCTAGATCTCAGCAGGATACCTTGCCAAAATCGAAGGCAAAGATATACACAAAAGATTGCTAGTGGCACCTTAGTCATCAGAAAGTATGGCAAAATTTTGAAAGTCCCAAAACTATCCTGCTGTTCTGTACAGGTGAAGAACAGAGGGTACCAAGAAGTGCTGTAATGAGAGCTTGTTTTATGAAGGAAGGTCTAACAACCAGTTGCTTCTTGATTTGCAAGAACATAGACACCCAACACCTGGACTCCAGTGCCCTATCATAAGATTATGCACAATGCTAGTTTTATGGGAAAAGAAACTGTTAGGCATTAACATTTATTAAAAATAATTCGTTATTTCTTGCTGAAATATGCTACATTAGTCCCTGTTTCCTTTCAGGGCTCTGTGTTGGCCTGACTCAGCCTCTGAATATTGTGACGTTTTTCCCTGGTCTGGCTGCCACCCTTTGCCTTCATGGATTGTTCCCCTATATTGCTCACTGTCTGTTACCCTGCTTGTGATAGTCTCCTTATAGTACCAGATATTATTTTTCTTCTGGAAGTAAGATACTCTTTCATCAAGATGTGTGTATTGAAATTGGAGTCTGTAGTTCTACTGGGTGTGTGCTGCTTTTTGATCATGCAGGAAATGAATTCAGTTCATCAGTACAAATCTCATCGAGGTGGGTTTTTTTTCCCAATAAACCCTAGCCAGGCATTTTTATCTTGTAAAATTGTAGTAATGCTTTTTATATAAATAAAGTTTTGTCAACAAATTTTTCATTCTACCAAAAACTCATAGAGAACGAAAATGCAAATGAGACTTAGGCAGTATGTTGTACCAAGCAGTTTAAAACAAACCAACCCTAGCTAAAATATAAACACCTAAATGTGTTTTGCAACCTAGTACAACATCGTATAAGTTAGATCACTGTGTCCAAAGGAAAAATAAAATTATGTGGGAGACCTGGTCTAGTAATTTTGGAACATTAGCTCTTCGAAGTCTCCTCTATTCCTCAGTTTAGTTCCCATAAACACCCATATAAATTTTAAAGAGGCACCATTCTGTTAAGTTACAGCAAAGCAGTTCTGAAAGATTACCTTTCACTTTCCAAAATGGGTATTTTCCCTGGTTATGTCTTACAGAGGCAGGGTATGTTCTTCTGTGTGAGAGCTGGCTGCAACCACTAGCTGGACTGTCTGCTGGATTCTCACCTTTCAGCTATCTAATTTCTGATTTGAAAACTGATCAGTTTGCCCCAGTCCAGAGGGCAGTGACTCCCTAAGAGTTTCTATGGCTGTCTTGCTCTGCTTAGCACTTAGGAATGTATTGATCGTAATACAGTAGTAAACTAAAGGGAAAGTATAAATGGGAGGAGGTTTTGGCAATTAAATCCTGAATTGGCAAGAGTGGAGACAGAAGTGCCTCTATAATTTGGTGTGGAATTTTCACATGTCTTATGTGAAAATTTGTCTCAGTAGGGCATTTTTCAGCCAAAGGAAGAAAATTACACCAGAGAGAGGCTAAAGATAGAAGTTTTGATAAATTAAAGATAAGTCTAAGAATATTTGCTACAGCTGCAGAGGGCTAGGAATAATGAAATAGAACTTGAGTGAATAAATGGGCACAGAGGGGTGAAGGTAACTGCTGGAGGTTGATGCACTAATGTAATCCTTGGAAAAAGTTTTCCCCAAAGTGCTGTCCTGCTTCTCTTTTGACTGCTATCCTGCTGCATGCAAGAGGATCACTGGTTTTTTGTTCTGCATCTGGGGAACAGGCTGTGTTGGTAACAGCAATTTACAGGAAAGACCTCTGTTCTTTTGGCCTGACAGGGAAAGTAGTCTGTAGACTGAACTCCTTTATCCACTCTAATGCAATATACTGTATCAATTTCCAGAATTTCCAGGAATCTGCAAAAAACCCACTGAGAGTTGTCAATTGGACTGTCAGACCTTCCTTAATAAGATAAGAGCTCACAGATATGTGAACAGCAGAGAATTAAAATACTATTCTGATCACACTTCTGTCATGTCTCGCACTGTTTACAGTGTCAAAACAACCCACCTTTTAGTAGATTGTACAGAAGCTTTTTTGTGTGTAATTCATCATGTGTCAGTGAGTTTTATTTGTGAGGGGCTTTTTGCATATCTAAAAAGCATATGTACCAGGTCTGACAGGTAAACACCCATGGACCTTGAGATTAAAATTAGCTATATTTAACCCAGAAGACAAAGTTGAATATTTACAGAAGGGTGCACAAAAACTTCCAAGGAACAGTACTGCAGAATCGGCCCAGCTTGATGCATGTTATTTTATTTAAAATTCCTACAGGAAAGGTACGAACCCACTGCCTAGCAGCAGGAGGAATCCTTTATAAAATACTCCTTGAAGCTGTTGCTTAAAAGGATACTGTTTGAGCTGCCCAAGAACTCCAATGAAAATCTTAGTTTCCCTGATGTTAGCAGTGATCCTTTGCCAACTTTTACCATTGTGCTGAATGAAGTATATGTTTGTCATTTGACATGAGAGTTTATATATAATTCACCAGACCTCAAAAAGCATGCTTACAGTCTTTTTGCTATTGCAGTCAATAAACCAAATATAAAAGCCTTCCTTACCTGTCATGGCAAGGGGACTTGAAATAAGAGCGGACGTACTGGTGCTGTCAGTCTCGGAGTTATTGGCCATTCCTCTTCTCAACTAGGGAAAATTCATGTAGACTGACTTTTCCAGCAAGCTCTGCAGCACAGAAACACCCTTTTCCATGTATAAATTGTAAGGCAAATTATAGGATTGTGGAGTTTTAGTTGTGTGTGATGGACCTAAAGCATGCTGTGCAGTCAGCAGTGCTGTTCGGGCTGGCAAACTGCACAAGCTGGTGAAAGGTTATTTTTAATAGCAGTATAACTTACTGCAGTCGAATCAGTAGCTGACAGGCCTACAGCATATTGTTGAGTAGCTTCTGGTAAGAGATGTCTCACATTTCTATGTAGATGATATGACCATATGCTTCTAACGTGTGCCTTGAGCTGTCATGGCAGTGGAGTAAGTTGCACACAGATCTCCTGGTGTTATTTTCAGGTTGGCAGCCAGTGTTGCTATTCTTTTTTCTAAACCTCTAGCTTTATTATCTGATGTTAATCAGCTATTGCCACACTCCATGCTCAGAAAAATATGTAGTCACTTGACAGAAACTTCTGAGTTTCTGCCTGTTGTCCTTTTGGACCTTTATGGTGTATTTGTTTTCTCCTTTGGTCTAGCTGTAGAAGAGGGAGATGCTCTAGCAGCTGGTCCTGCTATTGCTGGAAAATCTGCAGCACCATCTGTGTGGTAGTGTCGTGGTATGGTTATAAAGCTGGTTGGTGCCTAATTGTCTGTGTGGAGTGCATTTCATTACAAGAGGTTGTATATACCCAGTAGTCACAGCTGCAGTGGGGAATGTTTGGTGCACAGTTGGCTTTTTTGGTCTGAAAATGACATTTCTTGTCTGAAAGAGGTGAACTGTGGGAGGTTAAGTGTGAAATTATAGAATGTTTTCAGTTTGATTCTTTCAGGTAAAATACATTGATTGGCTAGTTTTTTACACGTGTATGTGTGTATTTATGACCATTTGTGCTAAGTGTGTGGGGTACTTGCTGAGAATATTAAATGTATATGTCACTGCATACTCGTACTCCCTTCTTCTCTCCTTCCCAACATACAGCTTTTAGCACTGATGGAAAAGACAAAGACATTGAGTGAGAAAAAAGTTGACTGATTTTTTTTTTGGCTGCAATTACCATTGCTCAAAGAAGCAGTTTAGCTTGTGTGTAACCTTAAGCATGTATATGTCCTACTTCATAACTTAAATCATGCAATTTACTTTCTCTTTAGTGCTTGATGCTTATTTATTTGTTCATTTATTTTTCATATTAGGTTAGCCTACACAAACCAGAAATTAAGTTGGAATCACTAAAAGAAGATATTAAGGATTTTCTAAAGACGTCAGGTTTGTAATACTTCGTTGATACATTTGTGAACAATATAGATCTATGTAAGCACGTATATGTCATAAGAGATGAATATAGTCCTTAGTGCAGCTTGATGTCTTGTCACTGACAGGAGCCAGAAGCAGACATTCAGTGATTGCAGATTATTAAACTAGATAGAGAAAATTAAAACGGAAAATGTTCTTGGATTCCATCAGCATTTTGAAAAACATACTATGCAAAGAAATGTTTTTATAATTTTATAAGATAGTGGAAATTTTTTTAAAGTTCTGAGTGATACGAGAGTTCAGTCACTTCTGAAAAGGGAAATTAACTTTCATGGAGGTATTCTTGAAAATTTTACCTTCATTAAATTTCCAGTTTGCATTGGAAGTTGTAGGCTATGTAACTATAATGTGAAGATTTTATGATAAGCAATTTAAAATTTATAATCACCAGGAACACTGTGTCTGTTAATATTAATAGATGTTTAAATAAAATGACATCTTTGAAAAAATAGGATGTAATTTTTTAACCAAAACTATGTTGTAATTATTTGAATAGCAGATGGAAATAAAGGATATTCAGTCTTTACACAGGTTTCAACTTGTAGTTTTCCTATCTGAATTGGATTAAGATTTCTTCATCTCTTCCTATCTGTCTGGTAGGTAGACAGGAACAGGCAGAAAACTCCAGTGACTGCAAAGCAACCTCTGATTCATGTTCTTAGTATTAATTCCTGAAATTGTCTTCTGGTTATTTTTTTATTTTAACAGGTTGGGAAAAGAAGCTTCAGAATGCTGTTTATAGTGAACTCAACGTGTGAGTTTATTTAGTATTTTTATTTAATGAGCTCTACTCCCATGATTTACTTTTGATTCATTTGTATATGTAGGTGTATAATGTGTTACTATAATCTGCAAGATCTGTCATACCAACAGTACCTGCTTCATTTCTGTTTTTAAAGTGTCATTATTTCTTTTTCATCCTAGTGAAAATATTGGACTCAAGTACATTTTAAAGAATGATTGAAACAAATATCACCAAATCACCAATTTTTTTAGTTACTTTAGTATTTTCTTTGTTGCTTTATTTCCAAAGGTTCCAACAGTCATAATATAATTCTTGTATAGATGAGGTAGTTGCTACAAATGAGTTCTAATTATTTTCTTATGTTTATTACAGCATTGCACATAGTGGTTGTATTGTTATTTTTAAAATTTTTTAAGATATTGGATCTCTAGGCTTACTAGTGTGTACAGTGTTCATCATGCTTGAGATATGGTTATAAACACACCAAAATTGGTCAAGTTTCCTTTTTATTATTGTTCATCAAACTTCGGATTAGACTTTTGGGAAGCATAAGTTGCCTTTACATTCTGACACAGTGGAAAGCTGTATTTCATGATAGATATAGCCTTTAATGCAGCTATAAAATAGGAAATGTGTATGGAAATCTATTTGTGCTAATTTAAATAAGCTTATTAGAGTTACCAGTTTGGCACAATGTATCTTAGTAGTAGCTGGGACTTGATTCAGCCAAATGCTTCTGTCTGTCAGTAAGGATTCATCTTCATCATATCTTTCCAGGGAGAAATATTTACCTCTCTCTATGGCTAATGCTGATACTTTCTTTGAGTTCATGGAAATGAGCAGCAAAATAATGAAATTAGCACTGGAAAATTGAAATTAACTAAGAATACCAAGATTTCATGAGCACTGTGGAAAAGACAAGAAGCAGCATTGCTCCATTTTACACATAGGGACACAGTAGGCCAGAACTCATTCGCAGCAAGTAAAAGAATGACCTTATCAGTTAAGAACGGGGAGAAATTTGGGGAGGGTTTCCCAAAAACATATGATAGGAACTGATTGAATACATGTAAACAAATGAAAATTCAAGTTAACTATTAGAGAAGCTATATGTAAATTTTGTTTCCTGAAAGACATTTTAGATATTTAAAACTAAGCTGGATAAAATGTTTGGCAATAACACATTGGAAATAATCTGAACTACTGGAAGATAAATTAGTGTTTTCCTTGGTTTTTTATTTTTGGTCCAGGTTTAATATTTTGGCATAATGTGATTTATGAGTGAACACTCAACTTTGCTTAGATCAACACCTCAAAGTTCTAATTGCTCTAATTGGAATTGTACATAGAATGATGTACATGCTCACAATTGATTTTTAAGGGATATCTTCCAAAAAAATGCATTGTCTCTTGAAAAAATGTAATGCCCTGGAGAGTGAGAGTTCCAGGGAATCATAAAGATGATATGATGTGAAGAGAATACACCTTTAAAATACCTGATTTGTCAATGTAATTGTTTGATTTTGTTTTACAAATATGTGAAATTATAAGAGATTCTTTTTAATATAAGAAAAACTCATGTTGAAATGTTATTCTTACATATTGTTATGTTATTTGTATCCATAGAATGGATGGGGAAAAAATACTTTTAAAAATAATTTTTAGTTTTGATCTACATACACTGTGTTTTTACTAGTGCTCTCATGAAAGAAGTTTGTGTTTAGGTTTACAAATACAGGATTAATTAAGCAAAATACTAAATCTTAACATTGAAGGTATGCTGTATTTTCTTAAAGGTTTCCTCTGCCCTGTCATCCTGCAGCACCGCCTGAGCATATTAAAGAACCTCTAGCCTATATGAGGAAAGCACAGGTTGGTGGTTATCAGTTTTATCATTCACATCAGATCTTTAATTAGATTATTTGAGATTTACTCTGTAGAATGTATTTGTACAATTTCTAGGTTCTGTACTTTAGGAAAAGGACAGATTTGTAATTGCATCAAAGTAATACTATATATGTGACACTTTACATATATAAAAACCTGCTCAAGTAATTCTCCAGCTGTGAAAGAAGTATGATATAGTGGCAAGTGGGTGAAAAATCCAGAATAGAGATGATGTGACTGTGTCAAAGAGGAGAATTTGGTTTTATTGAGAAGAAGAAAAAGGGAAGCTATAGGTCATTTCACTTGGGGCTGCAAAAATATTTTTTTGAAGAGACACATCGCAGTGAAAGATAACAGGCTGCAGAGACAGTGAGCTCTTCAGAAAGAAGAGATGTATTTAGGACTTAAAAATGTGAAAGGAAGATGAAAAATATAGAGCTAAGGAGCTTATAGCATATTGAAGGAGAATAAGAGAAACTGAACTATAAAGATTAAATGAGGATTTTCAGTGTCAGAAAAAAATATATTTGCTTCATTGATTTTAATTTTTTGCCAGTATATGCCATTTGAAAAAAAATTTAAAAATCCATATAAAAATGTAAAACCAAAAAAAGCTTCAAGAATATGATCTAACCAAAACATATGAGATACGATAAAAGTGTAGTTAACTCAGCTGTGCCTAGAAATACATTGTAGTATTGTTTTACAAGGTATTCAACAAATTGTGTTACTTTTACAATCATATTTGTTGTTTATTCCAGGAAGTCTTACCTTGCTGTCTTGGTTTTCAGTCTTTAGCATTTGGGGAGAAAGATTGTGTTAACCAATTCTTCTTGTTCTTGTGTGGTGTGAAATGTAATGCCACAATTTGCAGCCCGATTAATGCAAAACCCACAGAGCTATATTTATGTGTATGTTTGTCTAAAGCAGTTTCACTGGTTATTGTTTTACAAAAGTGTATACAATACTTACAGTAGCCAGTATTTTTAGCCTTATGTAGAAAGGCCTGTTATTTCAGTAGTTTAAAAATGAGAAGAAGTCCTGTCTTTGCTAGTTCCAAAACTTGATAGCCCTATTTCAAAGAGTATTAGTCATCCATGTCCTCAGGGGCGGGTTAACCCTGGAGGCAGCTCAGCCACTCGCTCACT